TGAGTAAGATCTTGTTCATTTTAAATAATAATCTTTATACTAAGTTCGGGAGTAAGTAGCATTAACACTAGATTTACCACGGTTTTTCATATACCCATTTATACCAAAAACAGTCATTTTGACTGGTGGGTAAAAAATTATTTAGGTATGTTTTTTTGCTTTTATTAACACTTGAAACGATTATAAACGAGTTTATTTTGTTTTTTATAAATTAAAAATCTCTTTTTTACATTTTTTATAACTAAAACTTTTATTCTACGTACTGAGTTTCACAATTTTTGCAAAGGTGAAGTTTTATGCCAGTACATTTCCCACAAACGGATTTTCTGCATTCATAGCAATTATTTGATGCTTTATTATTGTTACATAATGCAATTTGACACCATTTTCTTATTTTATCCTCATTATTTATAATCGTCAAATTTGAAACGTTACTATTTTCTCGTAAATTTTGATATTCTTCTGCTAATTCTTCTGCCAGTCTAAACAAAAATCTTTCCGTGAGATTTTTTCACCAGTTGCAGTTTTGTATAATATCCAAGCATTTATTCCCGCTAAATCTAAAATGTTAAAAAAAACCTGGAGTGGCCATCTTCTAGAACCCGATTTTACTGTATACTTCTTAGCCATTTGATCAGTTGCATCTACTCCAAATTTAGTTTTATTATAATAACTTATAGTCTCTGGCAATTTTTTTACTGAATTTTCAATTTTGACATGTTTATGTCTTGTACTCAGTAAAAGTACTTTCTTATCAGGTTTACTTTTGTAAACCGTAAGAGAACATTCATTGGTTTGAAATAACAAAGTTGTAAACCGCTCCATTCCATCTTTTTTCTGTTTACAGATATCGGGCAATTCTTTTTTGTTTGACCGCATCGTTCCAAGAAATGAAGTTTTTAGAAGTCTTAGCTTCAACGCTAAAGGAATACTTGTAAAAAAATTATCAGTTGTAATTGTTCTACCCTTCATTGAAAAAGGTTCTATAAGCTTCATTACTACATACTCACCAAGAGGAGTTGAAGAGTTTCGATCTTCATCTTTTCCAAGGTAAGGGAATCCATTCACAACATATTTTGTGCTAACGTCAGATGCAAGCCAGAATTTTATACCAAATTTAAAAGGTTTGTTTGGCATATATTGAGTGAAACGACACCTTGCTTTTGTAGGAAATAATTGCTCATCCACGGTTATATGAGCTCCCGGCCTATAATTATTTTGGCTATTAATAATAAATCGATTCCAAACATCAGAAATATGTGTAAATTTGTCCGTCTTCAACCTTTCCAACCTTGTATTTTTGTCATCAAATCTAATAAATCTTAGAATTTCAGTAAATTCACGTCTACTCATGGTTTTTGCAAAAAAAGGGGGACCCCATTTATTGTTCCAAAGATAAGAAACTCTTAACGTATTGCCTTCATATGCCCCACGAGCATATAGTATACCAATAAATGCCTTAAGTTTAGATATTGTCAATTTCCATTCTATTCCTAAAACCTCGAATGCTTCTTTTTCAGTAAAAGTAATTATGTCTTCTAAGATTTTGTTATCAATTAATAACAAAAAAGCACTACTTAAATCCCCTTTCATTATATTTTTTTGTGCTAAACCAGTAGGACCATAAAAATCCTTAAAGATACAATGTTCAGGCATTCTACCAGCCTTACCTCCTTGGTTTATTTTTTTCCAAATCGTACCATCTGAAGCGACCTCAAATCCGCAATCTACTGATTCATTCCTATTATCCGAGCCAAATTTTTGTTTTAGATATTCAT